TCTAAGGAGTGTATCTACCTGATGTACATATCCACCCTATATGCCTGTCTGTTATTTGTCTGGAAGCCACAGGAATGAATTCAGTTCCAGACCTGAAGGGTAACTAGGGGCCATAGTCTCTGGGGTCTCACCAGGCTCCATCAGACCAGCAAACTTGGTCTTTTTCTTTTTTTGGTGATTTTTAGTTTTGTTCCACATTATTCTCCCACTCTATTCAGGATCTCCTGAACTGATCCCTTTCTGAGTGGTTGACAGTGGTAGCTGGTCACCGTCTAGTTCTTCTGGTCTCATGGTCAAATAGGTTATGGTTCACATGGTCCACTAGTCCCCTAGACTAATTGTTTCCATGCATATTTGGTTTTCTTCATTCTTCTTTGCTCTGGATGAGGAGAGACCAATTGTTGCATCTAGATGGCGGCTTGCAAGCTTTTAAAATGGGGGTCGAGTGAAATTATGATTAAATAAAGGATATATATGAGAAGAGTGGTGGGATTGAAGGGAGTCCACGAATGTAAGTTGATTTGATAGTGGAAAGCCTTGTGTGGATCTGAGATTGGAAAGTATGTCCTTTGTCCTTTTGTAAACTATCAGTCAATGTTGGCTTTCAGGCACTCAAGGGTCATGATCAGAATACAGTTTTAGGAAGTTACACTCAGACAGCTGAGTGGAGAATGGACTTGAGGGGGGCTCTGCTGAAGATGAGATAATAAGGAAGTTCATATGATGCCTTGGGAGGTTCTAGGCAAGGAAACAGAGAGGAAAGGAAGGAGCTTCTGGGATAGAGATGACAAATTTGATAACAGATTAGGGGAAAGCAGTGGAGCCAGAAACTAGAACAATCCTAAAACTAACCTCAGGGACCTTGGTGCATGAGCCCATTGTTAATGGAGGGATAGAATCCCAGAAGAGACCAGATAATATGCAATGTTGTTGTTATGTGCCGTCGAGTCAGACCTGACTCAGCGACCCCTCCTTGGGTTTCCAAGGCAGTATCACTACGGAAGTAATTGCTCCATCTTCCTTCCGAGGAGTGGCTGGTGGTTTGAACCACCAGCCTTCTGGTTAGCCGTCAAGTGCCTTAGGCACTATGCTACCAGAGCTCCCAGTAATACACAATAGGGAAAATAAAGAGTTCATTTTGGAACTGAGTGAGTGCTTAGTGTCTAAGGACACTAACAATTACATGGCCATTAAGCAGCGGGTAACTCAGATTTGCAAGTTGGTCACTTGGGAGATCTAGGCTGGAGTTATTCACATGAGAGTCCTTCTCTTCCAAAATGTTGTTTGAGCTCCCCCATCTGCCTCTAGGATTTGGCTGTGAAAAAGAAGCTGTCCCTCCCCCAGCCAGGGAAGAGGGACAAATAAGTTGGACATCATATGTGGAAGGGATGTGCTGAGAGATCCTCAGAAGCTAGGAAAGGGTTTTTAATGCAGGCTGAGCATTGAGAGAAGTGTCCCTGAGGAAGGACCGTCTTAGTGGAAGCTTGAAGAGAGGGTCAACCGGTCAAAGATGGGTAAAAATTGTTGTTCAGGCAAAAACAATATTGCATACAATACCCAGAATGATACAGTGTGCAGCACATTTGAAGACTCGAAGTGGTTCCATGTGGCTGAAGGATAGGGGCCAGGTCTGTGTGTGGATGTTGATAGTGGGGATTGTCTGAAATGGTGGACAAGAGCCTGATGAAGCAGAGAACGTCAGAGCTGAGGATAGATTCCAGGATTCTTTGACTCCAACTCCTGTGCCTTCCTGCTCTCCCAAACAATCATTCCTTTATCCCCTCTGTATTCTCAAGGTGCTATGCACAACGCTTAGTCACTTGCCAGTGTTTCATAATGATCTGAATGTTCTGGGCTCTGTGGTGAATCCCTGTTGGTGTCTTTTCTGCAGGTGATGACCATGCCGGAATATCTGAGAAAGCGCTTTGGTGGGAAACGACTTCAGATCTACTTCTCCATCCTGTCCCTCTTCATCTGTGTGGTTTTGAGAATCTCAGTGAGTTCAGAGCCTCCTGACAATTTGTTTTGGAGTGATTGACTTGACGGGTGGAGTGCTAAGATCAGAGAGCTAGAGGAGTAGACTTTATAGTTTGAGCCACGTGGGTGTCTTCACAAGCTGGGTCTCTCTAGTAAATCTTTGTGGGAAAACAGGAACTTCAGAGATTCTGTGTTCATAGACTTGTAGACTTTTAAGTTGTGAGAAGCTTCAGAGTGTAAGTCCACCTTTTCATTAAGAACATGCAAAAATAGATATGCAGAAAGAACAGAATATCTCATTCCAATAACATTTTAACATTATTAGGTGGTGGAATATGTGTGGTCTACCACATAATATCCTCTTCATTCTCTTTGGAAGAGTTAGGCTGGGTTTATATTTTTATTTTCAGCTGGACTATCTGACACATGAACACAAAGAAAAATGTTTTGCATTGTTCTACACTGAATTTTCTTAAACTTACTGTATTTTATCTAAGATTTTCCTTCAACATTAGGGTAAAAATAATTAGAAAAATTTTAAAAGGTAAACATTTCTTGGAGATAATCAGTAAAGAAATAATAATAATAAAAAAAGTTGAAGATTCAGCAGCACATGTAGAAACCAAAGAGTAAATCATTTGCTTCTCATCCATTGGTGACTAATGAAATAATCTGGAAGTTCACAGTCCAGGCAGCTGTATCAATGTTCATGATAGAAGAAGCAGATCTTCACTATTGCTCTTCTGTTGAGCTGATTCACTGCTGAAAATAAACCAACTGTTTAGATTAAATGGTATGAGCTTTCCTAATGCAATGTGAGCATTTTTCAGCACTTACTGTTTGCTATCGAGCTCCATGTTAGGGGAAACAAAGATTCCTGGGTGCTGGGAGCTCACCAGAATCATACACATGAAATAATTAGCAGCTATGACAATATATGCAAAGATATTAAAATGTAAACTGAAATAGAATATGTATGGACAAGGATAGGACATGTGCTATGGACACCCAGCAGAGTCCACTCTGTTGGGTGGACTATGGAGGTTGTCCATGCTGCTCCATGAAGACAGCCTCCATAGTAGACAAGTCTTCAGAATGTGAAGGGTTAGGAGAAGCAGAAGGAAGTAGAGATGCCCACATGTGTTGGGCGTTGTGCTTCCATGTTGCATAAGTGTGTTGGACTCAATAATCTCTCAGTTCTTCAATTCTGACACTTTATGATGCTAAAGAGCATGAACAAGGTTTTGGGGCAAAATGTCAGTGATCAAAAGGACCCTAATGGATGTAACCTCCTGGATGGAGAACTCCTGGTAGGGTTTAGAGAGGACCAAGAATATTGTCAACCTGGAGCATAGGATGAGCAGCAAAGGCCAAGAGTGTGTGTGACTGCAGATCTTTGCATGGCTGGAATGATACGGTGGTAGGAATCCATTCTTGCCTTCAACGATGTTTTAAGTGATACTGCTGTTGTTGGTAGGTGCCGTCCTGTGTACAAAAGAGCAAAAACTGCCTGGTCTTGCACCATTCTCACAATTCTTGCTATGCTTGAACCCATCCTGCATCCACTGTGTCAATCCATCTTGTTGAGGGTCTTCCCCTTTTTCACTGACCCTCTATTCCACCAGTCATAATATCCTTCTTCAGGGACTGGTCCCTTCTGACAACATGACCAAAGTGGACAAGACAAAGTCTGGCCATTTTTCCTTCTAAGGAGCATGCTGGGTGCACTTCCTCCGAAACAGATTTGTGCATTCTTCTGGCACTCCATGGTATTTTCAGTATTCTTCACCAACACCACAATTCAAAGGCATCATCTCTTCTTTGGTCTTCCTTATTCATTGTCCAGCTTTCATATGTATATGAGGTGATTGAAAATACCTTAGCCTGGGCCAAGTGCACCTTAGTTTTGCAAGGGACATTTTTGCTCTTTAACACTAAAGAGGTCCTGGGTAGCAGATTTGCCGACTGCAATATGATGTCTGATTACTTGACTGCTGCTTCCATGGGTGTTGATTGTGGATTCAGGTAAAATGAAATCTTTGACAACTTCAGTCTTTTCTCCATTTATTGTGATGTTCATTGGCCCAGTTGTGAGGATTTTTATTTTCTCTGTGTTGATGTGTAATCCATATTGAAGTCTTTGGTCTTTGTCAGTAAGTGCTTCTAGTCATCTTTCCTTCCAGCAAGATTTGTTGGGTCATCTGCGCATCGCAGGTTGTTAATGAGTCTTCTTCCAACCCTGATGCTGCATTCTTCTTCACATAGTCCAGAGTGCTCATCTGCATGTTTCTTTTCTATCTCAACTGTTACTTTTCAGTCAGACGTATTTTCTGGAGCCATATTCATCAAGGTGGCCTTGGGATTAGACCTTTACCTGGCGATCATCATCCTCTTGGCTATCACTGCTGTTTACACGATCACTGGTAAGTCCATTGCTTCTTTGTCTCACAGGCTGCCTTCTGCTGACCCCACTCCAACTTTTAGTTAGGAACGTCAGCATTAGCCTTGTTGCCACCCAGGTAAGGACACCATTTTATACCTGGTATGACAATCAGGTACAGGGCCTGAAACACAACTAGAGCCAAAAAGAAAAGAGAAACCTCTGTATTAGATGTGAGTAACTTGATCCAAAGGAGCTCTGGTGGTGCAGTGCCTAAGGCATCAGACTGCTAACCAGAAGACTGGCAGTTCAAACCCACCAGCCAATCTGTAGAATGAAGATGGGGCTATCTACTTCTGTTAATATTTCCCACCTCTGAAACCCAATGGGGGTTGCTATGATTTGAAATTCACTTGATGGCAGTGAGGTGTTTCTTTTCTTTTTTTCTTTTTTTTGGAACTTGATCAAAGATAATTATGTGAGTACTGGGGAATTGGGATCTGCTTCAGCTGCGAATTCAGTACCTAGATTGGTAATTAGGAATCCAGCAGATAATATACATGGAAGATCAGGGTGAAACAGTAGCTCACATATGAGACTGGATAATGTAAGGTGGGGCCCAATGAATGAAGGGTGTCAGGCATGGTGATGGGCTATGAGTGGCAGAGTCAGGGAAGACAACAGGTGTAGAGGGTTGGTTGCATGTGTGTGTGGGAGAAGATGTATGGCAATGGTCCAAGCAGCATCTTACAAATCAGGTACATTCAGGTAGTCTCACATGTGTATTAAATTATAAAAATTACATTGTACCTGCCATGTAGAAAGAACTACACTCAAGATAATTCTGGAGCCATTTTCATACAATGAGTTTCAGGATAAGTGAGAGATGGAAGTATGAATCTGGTCTTTTCAGGATCTGTTTTCTTCTCCTATGACATTCATAAAGGAAAAATCTATCTGTAGGTAACTAGTATGTCTAGAATTTAAAGAGAAGTTTTTGTGGTTTTTTGTACAACACTGTAACAAAATACAAGTCAACTGTTATATCTAGTGTCCAACCAAAGAAATGATGTACAACGAGGGCCCAAGATGGAGGCTTAGTCAGACACACCATGCCATCTCCATACAGCAATGACCCAAGTGACCAAGTGAAACAGATACGGATGACAATTTTGAAACCTTGAGCACTAAACAGAAGGATGAAAAATTAGATCAAACACTGAGTGGAAGGAGAAACTGAATGAGAACAGCAAGCAAAGAAATTTGTGGACCATAGGTACCCTGCCAGCTGGCCCAGCACAGTGTGGTCATCTCAATATAAAGTAAGCAGTGTTCCTGGTAAGGAGTATAGGAAGGCAACTTCACAAAACTCCAAGCTGGAGACAGAGATTCTATGTAGAAAAACCTGAAGTTAAGCCAAGTACCATCTGCACAAGTACTAATGAGATAATGATGCTGAAACAAGCTTGTAACACAACCCCAAATTTTTAATATGTTTTCTATTGAGTCATCTCTAGGGTTTGGTTACCAGAGATCCCAGAGCTGAAGAAAAATGGATGAGTGCACGTAGATAAAAGTCATGGTACTTTTCTTTCTCTCTAAGGGGGTTTGGCCTCAGTGATTTACACGGACACCCTCCAGACCATCATTATGCTGATTGGTTCCTTTATTCTCATGGGATTTGGTAAGTGAATTAAGACAGATGTTGTCATGAATGTGAGCAGTGCCCTGGGCTGGACATCATGAGGTGATTTTTCTGCTCTGTCTATTTGGGCTGCTCATTATCTGCTGTCTTCCATAATTTCCTTGTGCTCAGAGGGGAAAAATTGGTACAATTTGTTGATAATTTTACAGAAATATCAGTGCATTGGAAACCCTTCTTTTACTAGAATTTTCATGAAATAAAGGACTAAATATTAGAAAAAAATTTTTGATAATTGAATATTAACCTTATTATAAAGGTTTCAGGTGGAAATCTAAAGAGGACATTACCCTATCATTAGAACATAGGTTGAATTTTCCTTGTTGACTCTGTTGATACTAGTATTATTAGTTAGTTCTCTCTCTTTAGTCATGCCACCAAGAGATATTGATTGATCTAACTCACAGCTGGATATTTTTGTTTTCTTTTATTCTGGTGTTTCTTATCTTTGGATGGGAAATCCATGCACACAGTAAACAGGTATAGGCTATGTATTAGTTTTACTGCAGCTGTGATAACAAAATACCAAAAACTGGTTGACTTCTAAAAACTGAAACTTATTGTCTCACATATGTGGAGGCATCAAACTGTTGGGTGAGCAATGCTGTCTCCAGAGTCTCTAGGGGAAGATCCCTTCTTGTCTCTGTCAGCTTTTGGGAGCCCCAGTAATTCCTTGGCTTGTAGGTGCATCTTCACATGGTAGCCCTTCCTCTGTCTTTCTCTCAGTTTCTTCTCTTTTATAAGGACACCACTCAAATTCCATTAATACCCACCAAATTCCAATGTGACAATTTTAACTTTTAACATCTTTTTTTTTAAAATAATATTTGTGTTTTTGGTGAAAGTTTACACAGCAAACTAGGCTCCATTGACAATTTCTATACATTTTTTTTTTCAGTGATATCAGTTACATTTTTCACAAGATGTCAACATTCTCTTTCATTGTGTTCTGGTTGTTCCATTTCCAGTGCTCTAATTTCCCTCTCCCCTTATATTCTCATCTTTGCTTTAGAGTAATTGTTGACATCTAGTGTCATATACTTTTTTATTTTTATTTTTTTTTCAACACAGGACCATTCTCACAGGTAATGTATTTTATTTTGTGTGCCAATCTGTATTTCATCAAAATGTGACTTCAGGGAGAAGTTTCAGTTCAAGGGTTTAAAAAGTATCTCAGGGTGATAATTCAAGGAGTCCTCTAGTCTCAACTCGTCCGGTAAGTTTGGACTTGTAAAGAATTTGAATTCTGTTCTGAATTTTTCTTCTATTCTGTCAGGGTCCATATATTATGGTCTTGACCAGAATGGTCAGAAGTGGTAGCTGGGCATCACTTAGTTCTTTTGGTCTCAGGGTAGATGAGGTTGTCACTTGTGTAGGCTATTAGTTCTGTAAACAAGCTTCTACTCTGAGATTTTGGTTTCCTTCTTTTTCTTTTGCTCCTGGTGAGTAGAGAATGATAGTTGTATCTTAGATGGCTACTCACAAGCTTTTAAGACCTCAGAGGCTACTCACATCACTAGGATGCAGGATATGAACTTTAAGAACTATATTGTGCCAATTGACTGGGTTATCCCATGAGACTAAGGTCCTAAGCCTTCAAACCCAGAAAATCAATTTCACAAGGTTTTTGGTTATGTCTGAGAAGCATCTGTAACTGTGTCCTATGAATATATATACATTCACATGCATATCTGAATATATACTTCTATCTGTGCACACATATGAACACAACTGTATCTTTCGTATACATATATACATATATGAAAGTAGCATGGACTGCCAAATGAACTAACAAATCTGTCCTGGAGGAAGTGCAGCTGGAATGCTCCTTGAAAGAGAGAATGGCCAGACTTCATCTGACCTACTTTGGCCATGTTGTCAGAAAGGACTATTCCCTCGAGAAGAACATTATGTTTGGTAAAGTAGAGGGTCAACAAAAGCAGGGAAGACCCTCAACGAGATGGATTGACGCAGTTGCTACAATGATGGGCTCAGGTACAGCAGGGATTGTGAAGCTGGCACAAGACCAGGCAGTGTTTTGTTCGGTTGTACATTGGGTCACTATGAATCAGAGCTAACTCGATGGCACCTAACAACAACAACATCCATACACTCATCTTTGGTGTTATTATGTAATTACATTATTATATATGTCATATTATTTAATACAAACATCCTTCTCTCTTGTGTGCTTCTTAGTGGCATCATTTTCTTTGGTAAAGTTGTGATTGTTACACCTACACTTGGTGCTACTTTTCCCATAACCAAAAAGAACAAGTATCTACAATCTAGAGTGTGATTTCTCTTCCCCCAACATAACCTGGTAACCACCAAAAAGCACTGGTCTCTGAATATGTATATATATTCTTGTTTTCTTATAAAAGTGGGATCATACAATATTTGTCCTTCTATGATTGAGTTATTTCACTCAGCTTGATGTCCCACAGATCCATCTGTGAAGCATCTATAATGTTTCACAGACTCATGATTGTTCTTCACGGTTGCATACTATTCCACTGTATGTATGGACCACATTTTACTTATCCCTTCATTCACTGAAGGACACTTAGGCTATAGCTATTTTTTTGCTATTGTGAATAATGCTGCCATAAACATAGGTGTTCATAGGTCTGTCCTTGTCTCTTTTATTAGATCTCTTTAATTATCTACTTAGGAGTAGGATGGCTGGATCATAAGGTATTTCAATTTCTAGTTTTTTGACAAAGGGCCATCTGTTTTCCATAATGGTTGTACCATGTTACAGTTCTGCTAGCAATGGATGATGTTGATGATTTCTTTCTTCCAAATATTTTTTTCTGTACTGAGTTCATTTTATTATCAGATTTTCTTTTCATTTTCTTGATTATTGTTGATTTTATGTTTAATAAGTCACTATGATTTTTTTTCTTCTTTCATTTAATTTTAGTTAAATGTTCTTATTTTAATTGTTTATTTTGTTTTATTTACTGTTCTCTCTGGTTATCCCATAATTAATTTTTATCTTCCTAAGTTTGAAGTAGTCAGTTCTATATTAATATTTTCCTGACTTCTTCTCCATTTGAGTATTCTGTAATTATACCACTTATTCCCTCTTTTTGTTTCATAGTTGTTGTCTTTTACAGATTGACACCTCTGGTTCTCTATTTTCAGTACTGTAAATGTATTTTAATTTTGAGAATTCTTTTTATGGGTTGGTTTCTGGGCAACATTGTCATGTATCTTAACCTTAGGTTGCTGTCTTCCATTGTTGGTTTTCTGTCTAAAGGACTCCAATTAGTATTTCTTGTGATGTTGGTCTGGTTTTCACAAATTCCCTTAACTTCTGTTTACCTGGAATTTTGCCATTCTATTTGAGGAACAATTTTGCTAGATGTATAATTCTTGGTTGGCAGTTTTTTTCTTTCAAGGTTTTATATATGTCATCCCATTGCCCTGGCCTGTATTGTTTCTGCTGAGAAATCAGTGCTTAATCTTATTGATTTCCCTTTGTACATAACATTTTGTTTTTCCCAAGCTGCTCTCAAGAGTCTTTCTTTGTCTTTGGTTTTAGAAAATGTGATTATGATATAATATGATTATGATATGTCTTGATTATTTTCTTTTGGGGTCTATCTTGTATCATTGAGCTTCTTTGATTAATATCATTTTGTCTTCATGGTATTAAGGAAGTTTTCTGTTAGCAAGTTTTCAAAA